TTAGTTGGAACTTTTTTTCCCCACCATCTCCTTGCTCTTATCCACAGGTTGAAGCAGTGACCAATGTTTGTATTTACAACTTAACCCTGCCCATAATGACCTTAGATATTTCTGCTATTTGACAGTGAAACTTTGTGTAAGTCAAATTTTAAATGACCAACATAGTCATTTAGATTATATTCTCCCAATTTAATTATCCCACTTTACTATTAATTATGTTCAATGTTATGTCATTTGGAGTTTCAATCGATTTACATGAGAAAAAAAAGTCTGACATTTGATGAAAGGTTACCAGAGATTCCCAAATTTGTCTTACCATTCCCATTAAAGAATAAAAATTATTCAGCATGCCCTTTAAAATCAACCTTTTTTAAGTGAACAAATTCAATGTTTTCCAAAGTAGTATGTGGGGCTATTAGGACCTTCATGGTTTATTCAGACCCTACAGTGTGGTGATATTTCCCACTTTGGGAAATAATGCTCTTGGAAACATTCATCATAAAATCACAATATTACAAGAGAAAAAATACGTAAATTACCATTAAAAACACAAATCAGTACATAAGTTCCAAATGCATCAGTTATAGAAAGTACACAAAATTTAAGAGAACACTCATGATGAGTGTGGCATGACGATTATATGCATGTGAAACTAACTTTAACAGTATTGTAAGTCACAGAACCTCAGGCAATAAAGAAAAATTTGAAATGTAATTTAAGGTAACATACCCTAGTACTTAGAGAAGTCTGACACTTCTATACTATTAATTGAACAATTTATTTATTGTAAGTCAAAATAAAAAACAGGTTATAGGCAAAACTATGATTTCAGAAAATTTGAAAAATAATGATAAATGTAAATAAAGGATATAAAACTGTGTAATAGAAAACAATCTTAATCTTGGATTTATGATAATGAACTAAAAGTTGGTTTCTAAAATCTGTGTTAATCTTTATTTGGAATCTCAGAATAACCTAGTAAAGTAAAGTAAAGGCCCTCCCGTTGATCGTCGATTTGCTCGAGCGGGCCCAGTAACGTCTCCATTGGAGACTTTGTTGTTACTGTGTCTGGCATATCGAATACTCTCGGTAGCTTGCCGGGCTCTCGAGAGGGGCGGAGGAATCGAACTCGGGTCGGCCATGTTGGCTATGTGCAAGGCAGAAGCCCTACCCGCTGTGCTATTGCTCCAGAATAACCTGGTGAAGATAAATGGCCTGTTAATTTATCCCTTGAAAGTTCAACCAAATCACAATTTATCTCAGTGTAATTTGCTGTCCCACGCGTTTATGAATAATTTAGTGGTTGTTGCATTTATTATAATGTTCAGAATACATTTTATTTTATTCTCACAAATTTGAGATTTTATTTTATTTTATTTATTAATTTTTCTCACTAATAAGAGATCATGAATTACCTGCTCATTTTATGCTCACTTCTCTTTATTTAAGATGCAGCTTATACAAGGAAATGACATTTAGAGTTACCATCATAGTGTAAGAAACATATTTTGAATGTGAATGAATAAACTATAAATAAAAAGTATTTTCATTTATGGAAGTTTTGTAGATGGAACTCAGCGTGTGCACATGTGTTCTACACAAGAGCCACACATATGTTCTCTAAAATGCAGGTTGTTTCATTGTGTTACTATTACAAGGGAACCAAATGAAATATTTTATAATGAGCAAGAAGAAGTATGAGGACTCTTAAAAAATCTGCATTTCCACACCACCTAGAGTATGGTTACAAGTTCTGCTGACTCTGGTCCTTAATCCATTACATCAATCCATTAATCATGCATTTTTAAGAGAATGATAGTTCTATAAATGTATTTTTCTTTAAAATGCTAAAATAAATACATGTTCGATTTTTAAAATTACAGTTCTGTATCATTTAACAACCCAGAGGCAATCCTTAGCTGTAAAGTGATTTCGAATTTTGTGGGAATGTCATTGGAAATAATTCAACCCTATGTGACACAGGCTGGAGCGATAGCACAGCAGGTAGGGCATTTGCCTTGCACATGGCTGGCCTGGCAGAGCCAGGTTCGATTCCTCTGCCCCTCTAAGAGAGCCTGGCAAGCTACCGAGAGTGTCTTGCCTGCACGGCAAAGCCTGGCAAGATACCCGTGACGTATTTGGTGTGCCAAACACAGTAACAATGAGTCTCACAATGGAGACATTACTGGGTCCACTCAAGCAAATCGAAGAACAACAGGAGGACAGTGACAGTGACTAAATGACACAATGAGTTAGAATGGTTGAATAACATGACCTACGCAGAGTGCCAGACAGTCCTCAATTAATTGTTAATTTAAACATTAAAAGACACATGACTGTACTGTTGCTATAAGTGTTAGAAAAGAAAATGGTAACTGATAAAATGGGACAATTCAAACAAGCTTTTTCTCTGATATTATAGGTGACCTAGGACAGTTTAAGCGTTCAGATCTTTGATTGACCTTTGTGAGAGCTCCTCACCTTGGAAATCAATCATCAAGTCTCTATAATTGCTTCTGTCTGAATGCAAATAATCAGATAAAAACTTCAGAGACATAGCTAAGTATTCACTACAAGATCTTTGTTAAATTATGAAAATAATTGCAATTGCATGCTAAAATGTTATAGCAAAATCTTTTAGAAAATATGTTGAAAATTTCAGGTTCTCAGGACGGATAGAGAAAGAACCACCAGGATGACAACTGGTATGTTTATTCAAACCATAATAGGTTTTGACAAAATTCAGTCTAAGATTCAATTAACATAATTATTCTTTTATTCAGTCATTTTAGCATAGCAGAGGAATTTCTGGACCCATTCTAATGAAAGTTAAAATCATTATGTCTCTGTACTTTTCAAATATAAGATCCAAAATTCAATCTTAAATTAGCCTGAAAATTTACAGTGCTGTACATGAGAGAAAACAAAAACAATATATTCTACTAGATGAATGAGATAATGGAATCAACTGAAACTTTATAATAACTATCATTAAAATATTTTATTAAATGCAGCAAATGAGGATTCAAGAACTAAATTAAAGCCCAAACAGAATATATAGAGAGTTGCTTATCTCAGAGAATATACGCACACATATACATATATATATATACACACACATATATATATATTTGCTTATCTCACAAAAGAGCATGCATGTCTGCATATCATAGATTATAGCTTGGACAAGGAACTTCCTAACAATTGAATGTTCTACTATTAAAGGAAAAATGCTTGGAAATGGCAACATTTTTAAGAAAAAATATCTACTCTATTTAATCCTTACCCAGACATAAATGGGTTAAGGGATCCAACAAATGATTTAAAAACTTCATACATAAACATTAATCTTAGGCATAGAAATAGACATTGCATTTTTAATGTAAATTTTTCCTATATTTTGTTCTAAAAATATTGTTTTCATCTAGATACTCTCACTTTTTACAGTACTTTAGATTTGATTACCAACAAATATAATAATCTAGTGTCTGTTGCTTTACAAAAGGAATGTCTCTGACACATTCCATAGTTGAAATATTTTATCTTTACTTTTCACAGTAGCTGTCACCTAAATATTATTGCTCATCCATTGTAATTGAAAATTTAACAAAAATATATCATATTTAAAATGGGGCCTTTCAGAAAACACATAGACGATTGTTTACATATAATATTCTAATAACTAGTTATCTATGGAAATGTCAATAGTATTAAAAATGAAATACCTACAATGGTATGACTAAACCACTGACATAATAAATATTTTAAGAAATATTATGAACAATTGATCAGTTATATAGTTCCGTAGGTAGGTCATTTGCCTTTCATGCAGCTGTCCTGATTCCAACCCTGACTACATGGTCCCTCAGTTCCGAACAGGAGTGATCCCTGAGCGCAGAGAGAGAGGTAACTCCTGAAAATTGCTGAGTCTGAGGGCTGAAGGATAGCACAACGGTAGGGCGTTTGCCTTACAAGTGGCCGTCATGGCCGACTCAAGTTCGATTCCTCTGCCCCTCTCAGAGAGCCTGGCAAGCTACCGAGAGTATCTCGCCTGCACGGCAGATGCTGGCAAGCTACCCATGACGTATTCAATATGCCAAACACAGTAACAACAAGTTTCATGATGGAGATGTTACTGGGCCCGCTCAAGCAAATCGTGAACAACGGGAGGACCGTGACCCAAAGCCAAATAAATGAAATAAAAATTAAATGTTTTGTCCATCATTATTCATAGCATAAGTGTCTGGAGAGATAGTATGGTAAGGGCCTTTGCTTTGCATGCAACCAACTGGGCTAGAAGCCTGGCACCCCATATGGTGTACTGAGTACCACTATGAGAACCCTGAGCACAAAGCCAGGAATAAGCTATAAGAATCACCAGGTGTGACCACCCAAAAACTATAAATATATATATATGTGTGTGTGTGTGTGTATACATATATACACACACAAATCACAAGGTAAAATTTACATTTTCTATTTTGTCTTTTTATAATACCATTCAAAGCAGTAACAGGTATTATAGCTAATGTCATTAACACTGAAGCTGTCTGATCCTTATTTAATCTGCAGTGTTATATTTTTAAAATATTACATTGGTATAAAAAAATCCTATTCCAGAAAGTTAGACTAACCCTATTGAAAGTAAACCTACTACTTTAACTAGGTACTTATAATTTACACGATAATTGTAATGTTCAGATTGGTGGTATTCTGTTAGATTGCAATGAAGCTTTATGAGCAGCTATAATGAACTTCTACTGATACTAATTATGCACCTTTGGGGAATCAATCTTACAATTGCTAACCATGTTTGTTCTCTTGGAGATATATGAGACTGAATAGATTAATGTCCCGGAAGTGGATCCCACGCCTCCACGTGAGCCTCCTGCAGCCGGAAGTGGGTCCCGTGCCGCCCCGTGAGCCTTCTGTGGCCGGAAGTGGGTCCCATCGCCACCCCGTGAGCTCCTGCGGCCGGAAGAGGCGACCTCAGTGCCACCGCCGCCATGGCCCAGTACAAGGGGGCAGCTAGCGAGGCGGGCCGTGCCATGCACCTCATGAAAAAGAGGGAGAAGCAGCGCGAACAGATGGAGCAGATGAAGCAGCGCATCACAGAGGAGAATATCATGAAGGCCAATATCGACAAGAAGTTCTCAGCGCACTACGATGCTGTGGAGGCCGAGCTCAAGTCCAGCACTGTGGGCCTCGTCACCCTCAATGACATGAAGGCCAAGCAGGAAGCGTTGGTAAAGGAGCGGGAGAAGCAGCTGGCCAAGAAGGAGCAGTCAAAGGAGCTGCAGCTGAAACTGGAAAAGCTTCGAGAGAAGGAGCGGAAGAAGGAGGCCAAAAGGAAGATCTCCAGCCTCTCCTTTACCCTGGAGGATGAGGAGGAAGCTGGAGAGGAGGATGAGGACGGGGTGGCCCTGTACGATGAGGAACTAGAAAGAGAGGGGCCTACCAAGAAAAGGAAGCTGGGGAAGAATCCAGATGTGGATACAAGCTTCTTGCCTGACCGAGACCGTGAGGAGGAGGAGAACCGGCTCCGGGAGGAGCTGCGGCAGGAGTGGGAAGCCAAGCAGGAGAAGATCAAGAGTGAGGAGATTGAAATCACCTTCAGTTACTGGGATGGCTCCGGCCATCGGCGCACGGTTAAGATGAAGAAGGGGAACACGGTGCAGCAGTTCCTGCAGAAAGCGCTGGAAATCCTGCGCAAGGACTTCAGTGAGCTCAGGTCTGCGGGGGTGGAGCAGCTCATGTACATCAAGGAAGATCTCATCATCCCTCACCACCACACCTTCTATGACTTCATTGTCACCAAGGCACGGGGGAAGAGCGGGCCGCTCTTTAATTTCGACGTTCATGACGATGTTCGACTGCTCAGTGATGCCACGGTGGAGAAGGATGAGTCGCACGCAGGCAAGGTGGTGCTGAGGAGCTGGTATGAGAAAAACAAGCACATCTTCCCCGCCAGCCGCTGGGAGCCCTACGATCCTGAGAAGAAGTGGGACAAGTACACCATCCGGTGAGTAAGGAGGCCGTGTGGGGTGCCACCAATTCCAGAACTCTGGGTGCCTGGGTGCCCTCGTGATGTGCTCTTCAAAGGAGTCAGGCCTCTCCCAGCTCCATGCCCCATCTGTGGCTACTTACTTGTCCCCCAGTGAAGCAGCTTCTCAAGAGCTGAGCACCCATGCCAGTATTCATGGCAAAAGGTCTTTTGTATTGTGCTTGAGTTCCCCTGGTGTCCTTGAAATAAACTGCACATTGGGGACCCCTGGATTGAGATTGACTGGGAAGGCCCAGAGGGGTTTCCAGTAATCCTTCTCCAGCCTTGGGTCAAAAAAGGGAGCAGAGGATCCTTCTGGAGGGCAGTGGGGTGAGAAGGTTCAGGTCTGTTTCCCCAAAAAATCTCTTCAGCTATTTTATCCTCTATATCCCTATTGGTTAAGGGTGGTCCTGAAACAGCTATCTGCCAGGAGAGACACACTCTCCTGGAAGCATGCCTTTAAGCCTGCCACTGCCGCATACATACCTAGCGGGGGGGCCCCTTGCCTGTCTTTTCAGCCTTTCTACAACAAGCTTTTCTACTTCATCTCAGGTGTCCCATGAGAAGAGGTCCTCAGTAGTAACTCCAGGAGCCACATCAAGGATAGTGCTCCAAATCTTAGATGCCCTATCCTCAGAAAATTCTAGCCCCCGGCTTTTTAACAGATAACGTAAAGCTTTCAAACCTGGGTGAGGCACCTTTTGAATGGAGTGGCCCATGATATTTAGTGGGGTTGAGAAGGTCAGGATAGATGATGGTTCCACTAAAATACCACTGAGACAGAGGAAAGAACACAGGGGTCAAAAAGACACACAGCAAGAATGAGGCAAGATGCCAAAAAAGATAGATACTAGGCACCTCATAGATGAGGGAAGAAGCAAAAACAAAAGTGGGAACTACCGAAACACACCTGTCTCAAGGAGAACTCTCTGATAGTTTACCTAACTATCAGGGGACAGAGTTTGAGCTCCCGTTCATTCCCCTACCTGAATTACCAGCTGGGTATCTCCAATGCAGTCACCTATTTTACTGCATGGATTTGGGTCAATCAGGGGGTCATACCTTGCTCCAGCGATGTCTGTGCTGTCCATATACACACTGTGCCTGTTCAGGCACCAGATGTTGGGGTCTTGGCCAGTCAACCCTGACACTCTGGAGTATGATCACCCTGGTCACTGGACTTACTCCATGTAGGAGAGGGAGTGGGAAGGGGAGAAGCCTCTGCCCTGGCCCTCCATGCGCTCACAGACTCCTGCCACCAACAAGAAAAAAACACATGGACGGGGAAAAGCTGGTGGTCAATCAGCAATCTGTTTATTAGCTCTCACACAGGGTATTTTATACATAACATTTCAGGGAGCAATCCATGTGTATCACATTTACCTTGTCAGGCTCAATACAGATGTTAGTTAATGATTTGCATCTCCCATTTTCAGGGCCAGGTGTATTAGCTCAGGAAGATGGTATTACATCCCTCATCCTCAACCAGAGTTCCTGCATGTGTGGAATAAACCCCTGGGCCCCTGAAAACAGGACCAGCGCTTTCCCTCAGGGCAGGGCATCTAGTTAAAGTCTCAATCCGGTTACTGAGACCCCAACAGATTAAAGGTTTACACAGCCAAACAAACCATAGTATATGTGATGTGGGAAAAATAAGTGGTTGCGAGAAGTGACATGCAGAGGTCGTTCTTTCTGATCGTTATAAATTATTTCATTCATTTCTTACTAGATATGTGAAAGCCACACAATATAACATTTTATCCAAACTAACTCAGTCTCTCATTGGTTCAAGGTATCTAGATATGCAAAGGTGAATGATGCTTAAAGTTCCTTTGTCAGTCATAATTTATTTTCTCCAAAGTTTGGGAAAAAGATTGCCACTTAAGATAATAAGTTGATGAGAATTGTACACTTGTCCAATGTCAATACATTTAAAAGATCATGGCATATGCACATGATCTTTTTCTCTACTTCATTAGTTTCTTTATACTCTAGAAAGTAATTCCTAGATTATTTTCTTTCTGAGGTTCTAATAAGGTAGCTGATTTTGTGTTCTCTAGTATCAAAGACAAAATCACAATAGAAAGTATGAATGCATAGAACTATTATTTAAACTACAATAGTAATATTTCAGAATTAATATCAAAATGGTTATATATCATATAATTCTCACATTTTTCTTGTATTCTGTAGGATAGCAGCATTGGGTTTGTTCTTTCAGCCTTCCCACAGGGAACTTAGTTTACCTTAAAGAATTGTCCTTTCTGTATGAACACAGGAAGACAGTTAATATTATGGTTTGTAACTTAGGAGATGATTGACTCCAATAACATTTACTCCTGGGCATCTGCTCTTTTGACTCAGTTGCCCTTAGTTCCTAACACCCCAAAAGCAGGGTCCCGATGAGGGACTTAATGGACCCAGGGCAGGCTGTGAGCTACCCTGGCATCGAAATGGGCCAGGCCAAAGCGCCACAATACTCAACTATAAACTGAGAGCATTACCATATACAAATGCTGTCATGTTCCAAAAGTAATGATGACACTAAGGACCCTGCTGGGGTTAGGAAGACTAACCTGGCCTGAGGACTGTGATCTGGAATATACAGTGAGATGTCCTCAGGAAGAACTAAACTTTAAGTTGATGTATCTCTTACTGTGCTCATACAGAATGACATTGCTAGAAATATTAGAAGTAGATTTACTAAAACTATTTAAATGGATTATTTGCACGTGGCCAGACCTGGCCTATCTGGCCGACCCAGGTTCGATTCCTCCCCCCTCTCAGAGAGCCTGGCAAGCAACCGAGAGTATCTCACCTGCATGGCAAACCTGGCAAACTACTCGTGATGTATTTTATATGCAACACATAGTAACAACAAGTCTCACAATGGAGACGGTACTGGACCCGCTCGAGCAAATAGATGAACAACGGGAGGACAGTGCTACAGTGCAACTAGCTCAAGAAAGAAGAAAAAAGAAAGTGACACACCCTGGATGGGTGCCACCCTTAATGGGATCCTAGTAATCCAGAGTAATCTCTTTAGATGAGATTTTATCCTTGAGTTAATCTCCTGGAGGAGTGGTCTTACCCCTCTTTGTTGATTTGTTAATGTTCTACCCACCTTTGTGTCACCACCCTATGTGATTGCAATATGAACTAAGACTGTAAGAGGGGAGGGGGAGAGAGTCAGAATCCAGGGAGCAGAGTCAGAAGTGAGAGTGGGTCAGGCTTTATAGAGAGAGGCAGAAAGGCTCCAGAGAGAGGAACAGGGCTCCAGAGAGAGGAACAGAAGCACTCCAGAGAGAGAGGCAGAAGGGCTCCAGAGAGAGAGAGAGAGAGAGAGATCAGAAGAGACCAGAGAAGAGACTACAGAGACAGAGTCAGAAATAGACAGACAGAAGAGAGCACAGGGCACACATAAAAGCAGAGCACAAAGGAGAAGCCATCCCGATCCATTCCATACACATGTGTTGTCGGTGGCTTGAGAGCACCGAATGCAAATGGAGAGAGAGAGAGAGAGAGAGAGAGAGAGAGAGAGAGAGAGAGAGAGAGAGAGTGTTGCTGCCCGGAGAGCCCACCGCGCATGCGAAAGGTATTTTTTAGAGTTTTCTTTTTCTATTCACTTTCCTCACTACTTATTTTATGTTTTGTTTTTCAGGGGACCATACCTGGTGATGCTCATAGCTACTAATGGCTCTACACTCAGGGACCACTCCTGATGCTGCACAGGAGACCATATGAGGTGTGGGGAATCAAATCTGGGTTGACTGTATGCAAGGCAAATATCTCTTCTACTGTACTGTCTCTGGCCCTTCTTTACCACTGCTTCTCTCTCTCTCTCTCTCTCTCTCTCTATATATATATATATATATATATATATTAGTCACCATTATTTTAAAAACTGTTCATAAGAGAGCAAGGTTTCAACACTAATCCCACCTCCTGGTTCCCTTCCCTAAACCAAAATCCCCTGGTTCTTTCCCACCCCTCTGCCTGCCTCCTTAGCAGGCATATAACAAGTTCATTTCCTATTACTCTGACAAAACTTAAATGCATGTGAAATGATGTTATCAGAAAATAAATCAATAAAAGTCAATTTGTGATGACTAATTGCTATACGATTTTAATCTATTTAATAAAGAACTGAAAATCTTTTAATACAATATAATATATAGTCTAACACATTTCAACAAATAATTTTTAAACTGTGGCATCCGAAATATATTGCACTAACTTTCATTATGCACTTATCATTTCTAATGATTATTTCCCTCAACTCATCCCTCAACTCATCTAACTAGCTGAAATGATCTACAAACTACCTACCTTTAAGAGTGGCACGAAGATCAGGAACCATGCATAGGAAGTATGAGCATATAAACATCTCAAAGAATTTAAAATTACATGATTTTTAAACTTAGCAACTACAAGAGACAGAGTATATAAATTGGTGCCAAATATTGTTTGGAGAGTTCTCTACTATTATTTTTCAAAATGCTCACATTTATTACCCCATTGTTTCAAAAAGTTGTATAGTATTCTTTCTATACTTAAAAAATAATGTGTTTCTTTTCCCTTTCCTTCAGGCAGTTTTTGGTAACATCTCTTAAATTTGACATTTTTGTTGGCTCTTAGGTAATAATCTGTTAGTATGTTAATATGAGGTTCAAATTGCAGTAAGCATAATTGTGCATATATACACATATGTAAATATGGCTTTTCCTGCATACACACATATACTTACATGAAGGGTGTTACTTGGATATAAATTTTTAGAGGGTTGTTCTGCAGGCTGGTAAAAAAGAGTTTTCTAAAAGGCAAGACACTTAGACAAGAGCAAAGTTTTATAGAGTCCACTGATCAGAGAGTTCTCCCAGCACAGTCTTGCTGGACAGCCTTAACTTGTATGGAAATATCTCCTCAATAGCCTTTTGGGCAGGGAGATTAGATAGGGTTTTCTACTCTTTGCACAGATCAGCAACTTTAGG